GTATGCATATTCAAATTATGTCATTCATGCAAATTGGGATCATGATATGATCATAATTCATTGTACTATGAATATCTGAGGCACCAAAATTGACCATAACAGAAGCTAGATCTCCTGGAACTTTCATCTCTGAAGTTCCAATACAAACAAATTTGCTAGTGCAACATAGCCTAGCAAAATAATATTTACAAAGTCCCATTAATACTAATAATCATTCAGATTACTAATTACTACATATATATACTAATAAAAAAGTTTTTTTTTTTCTATCATTAGCATTCTATTATTATAATGTTCTATTATCTTTACCAAACCCTCTATTAACAAATCTATCCTCATAACTTTGTTCAACGGTACTTCTATCATGACTACTAGCTCAACATGCTAATGTTTTTCAATATCATTTACTCTATTGATATTACTTATATTATCAGATCTTTGGTGATAAACAGATATCTTATATTCATTTTTTTTATTATGAATTCTATTCAAAGCAATTATTGTTGCTTCATCATTTGAGCTTGATTCCCATCATTCTAACTTTGAATTCATCAGCACTACTCTATTTATTTAATGTCTCCACCAAATATTGTTCCTCTACATTAAACATTTTTTTTGTATTGTCTATATCTGCAGATTCTTAATAATGAATGAGTGTCTTATATTCATTTTTTTCAATATCTACATTTTCGCCTTATTTCATTTAATCTTTTTTCTATGACCTTCACAGGTATGATTTTATTTTTTACTTGTGCTATTTTACCCTTAAATAACTTATTAATAATCATTTTTCTTTCTTATTTCAATCTTTTTTCTTTTATATTTTCATGCTTCTCAATATCTATACAATCCAACTTCATATACCTTATATCACTTACTTCCGGGCTTTCAACCAAACTTCCAGTCCTACATTTTTGAACTAGGCAATTACATGTCATATGTTCTGGTTTTCGGTATTTATAGCATAATCTTGAACAACACAGCTTGTACTAGTAAGCATAACACTTTTGGCTTTTATATTGGCTTTTCACAACCCTATTTAATAAGAAATAATACCTTCCATAATCTCTCTTATAGGTTTTATGATTTTCCAGATCTGCCTTTTCAATTCTACATTTATTTCACATATTTCATCATCCGTATGTTCATTTTTCTCCTCAATTGATTTATCAAAACCATTATTTAGCATTTCACTAGCTTTTTTTCTATAGTATTCACTTTGCTTTATGTATGTTTCAATCTTCAAAGCAAACCTTTTTATGTTTTCATAGATCTCAGAGCAATTATAATAAACTTTTTCTCTATATTTTTTATCTAGCCCTCTTATGTATATCTTATTTAATTTGGTTTTTCGATGGACTTGTCTCTTTGCTATCGACACTTGGGCTTCAAATTTGTTTGTATAGCTCTATATTGATTTTTTTTTTCCTTGTTTTATATGTACCAACTTCTTTAACTTTATCTCCCCATCATATGATGATTATACCTTTTATCATTTTTAATTTCAATTTAGCCCAACTCTTGGTTGTCTGTATTAACTCTCTTACCCACAGCCTTAGGTGCTCTGAAACATAGTGGCTAAGCATTATTCTTATGCCAACTTTGCTTCATCTCTCAAATATGGTGTAGGTTTCGAAATCAAACAGAAAATCGTCTATACTCTTTTCAGTATCACTATAATAAAATGGCAATTGAAGATCAGCTTTTTTCATTGTATCCTTTTTTATTTAAGTTAAATGTCTTTTTGTTCATTCCCGACTTTATAGTTTTTACAAAGACTTTTTTGTTCCTTTTATCTTTTAATAATATAGTTCACTAAGTATTTCACAGAGATTTTCTTTCCTTGCTGTTTAATCAACTATGTAGTTCGACGAGAGTATTGTTCTTTACTCAGGTCCTTTTGTCATATAGTTTCTTAACACTACCATATACTGGTGGGTCTTCACTAATAATTTTTATTTACTTGGTTAATATCTTTGATTATACAGGTCCTTCCACCAATCTTGTATACTCATACAAGTAGTAGTTTTTCACTAAGATTGTTTTTACACTAAGCAAATATCAATTCTCAAAGCTAAGAAGCTTCAATTTCAAAAGCTTGGTTCTTTCCCTTTCGGAATCAATACTTTATATTAATTACTAATCACTATTTGTGTTACTGATTATTACATATTATCTCATCACTCATGCAATCAATGTTTTAAACTTTTAATTATTTCCTATACATATCTGAATCACGCAAATCAGGATTATAACCCAATCATGATCTCTTGCATTACAAATATCCAGAGCACCAATGTCGACTACAACAATACTTCTTCCAAAATCGCATTCAATCTATCAATTATAGTATTATTTCTTTTTTAAAGTTAGAAAACCTTGCTTCTCTTCTATAAATAAGATAGAATAGAGTGAATTTCATAAAAACTGTTTGCTTGTTCTATATAAGTACAAGACTGAGGATATTATGAGTCTTATTCTTGCTCTTGTTTAATCAATTTTGCTAATGCTTCACATAGTATATGATTATAGCATTCAACCAACCCATTAGTCTGTAGATAGTAAGGAGTTGATATTATATACTTTATTTCAAAATTCTTTACCATGAATTTTTTCCTCTATCTGAAATTAGATAGATAAAGCATTCATAGCAACAAACTACTTATTGAAGATAAAATGAGCAGTTTGCTATGCATCAGCATTCAGTATAGCCTTAACTTCAGACCATTTTGTTATATAATCCATAACCCCAATTATGTAATAATTGCTACTTGTAGTTACTTCTAATAGTTCAACAAAGGCAATTCCAATTTTGTGAAATAGGAATATAGGTTGTAAGGGTTCTCTTGTTTTGTATTTGTCTCATTTTTGGTATGCATTACATGGTTTAACATATTCTCTAATGTGTTTATATATTTGAGGCTAGTAATATTTTTCACAGCTTTTGTCAAACATCTTTTCAACTCCTACAAGCATACCTAAGGGATGGGTGTGTATGATATATAAGATAGGGTCTACTTCCTCTGTCCTAATTATCTTTAATAATTGGTTTTAGATTTTCTTCTATTTCTCTTATACAACAAGTAGTTGCATATAGTATAAAACTGGCTTTGAGATTCTAGTTGCTTTTTCTGCTTAGTATTTAATTGAGGCAAATAACTTGTCTTTTCTAAAAATTCTTTAATTTGATAATATTTAATAGTTTCCATCTTTATTTAATTATTAATCTTCTCTCTCTTTTTTTTTTTAAAAAAAAATATATAGTTATTAATAGGTTGTATAGTAGCAGGAACTGACCTGCAAATTTTTATGTCATTTGGGAATGGAGAAAATAGATATTTTGTTCAAAGCCATTGAACAGAGTTTGGAATTTTCTACCAAACTAAATTACAAAGATAAGTATTCTTATAATTGTTGAACTTCTGGTAATATCTTTTAGTTGGAGTTTCTAATAGCTCTAACCACTATAGCTATATTATAAAATTGTTTTCACTTTCCTTGGTTAGTCTATTATTTTGAGCTACTAGGTCTTTAAGACAAATAGAAGTTTCATCTAACTATTTGTCTATTGTATAATTAATACCTAAAGATTTTAGGTCTATGGTAGTTTTTTTTCATCTTCAGTATCTATTATTGCTTAATTCTTTTGGTAATTTTGTAAATAAGATAATTTTTAATTATAATCCACAATTTTAGATTACACTTACACTTGATGCAATCATCTTCTAGTAAGTATAGTTTATTACTACACCAGCATTGAGTATTAGAACTTTTTCAGTCATGTTTTCAGTATTTATCTTTTGTTTTTGTACTCAACCTTTTACTGACATACTTTATATACACAGGTCGAAATTTAATATATCCTACATTTAAGCTATACATATCGGGTAGCAGATATGTGAGAATGACGTAGGATATACTACACATAATTTACACATATCCTATACATATCTTACACTTTGAGGGATATATATAGGATATGTGTAGAATATGTGTAGTCTCAATGCAGACATGTGTGAGAAATGTTACATGTCACTCAAATATTTCATATCAGATAGGTGTAGGATAGATATAAGATATATAAATTTTGACCTATGATAATACTAGGTACAATACTGATTATTATACATACACCTTCAGGTATAAATTCTATTTGGTCATACAAGTACAACCCAAAGAGTGCGTATACAGATAAGTTAAATTTTAGGTTTTTTTTATTTTCCTATATTTTTTTTCAGGTAGAATACTAAAAACCTTATTATTGATTGTTACTTTTCTATTTAGTTCAGTAAAATACACAGGTTATATTTCTTTCTCTTTTTTATTATATAGCTACGATAAAGCATTCGCATTATTATATTTCTTTTCAGCACAATGTATAATCGTGAAATTGTATAGTTCAAGTTTCAATATTCATCGGGCTTACTTATTTTTAAGTTCAGAGGTCCTTAGCTATTGCAACACCAAATGATCTGTTATGAGAAAAAATGGCTTAGACTCTAAATATTAATAGAAATATTCTATAGCCCAAACATTCTAGTTCAGGTATTGAATAGTTTTTTTATACTTATTTAAACTACAACTCACATAAGCAATAATATATTTCTTGTTCTTTTTATCAAGTTGGGATAAAACAAATTTCAAATCTAAAGTAGAAGTATTTGTATGAAGTAGAGTTAATACCTCAATTCAGATATATTTTTTATATCCAGATTAATCTGGTTTTATTATAGTATAAATTTGAATATAAATTTAAATCTGGATATATTTATTTCCAAATATAAAAACATTATGTTACATTATATCATATAACATAGTATATATCCGGATATATTAATCTAGATAGAGGTATTAACTCTAGTATGGAGGTAAAATTGCTTGCTAAAATCTGGGTACTGTAATATCAGAGTGGTTATAAGGTGATCTTTAAAAGTATTAAATGTCTTATATTGTTTTTGCTCCTATTTGTATAGCTCATTTCTATGCAATAACTAATTCAAATGTTTAGCTATTTTAGAGAAGCCTTGGATAAATCTTCTATAATAGGATGCCTGTTCTATAAAGGCATAAACTTGCCTAATTATAGTAGGTATCAGGAAATTTTTAATTTTTTTTACCTTTTCTTCATCTGGCAGAATTTCTTCTTGCCCAATTATATGATTTAAAAATTTTATTCCTTTTAAGAAAAATACATATTTTTTTAATTATATTTTAGTTTTGCTTCCTTTAATCATTCAAGAACCTGTTGAAAATGCAAAAGATAGTTCTTAAACATCTTTGAATATATAATAATATTGTCAAGATACACCACTAAGAACTTATTGATAAAAGGTTCTAACATGTAATCCATTAATCTTTGAAACATGAATAGTGCATTATATAAACAAAAAGATATAATATTAAACTGGTATGTTCTAAATTTAGTTATAAAAGCAGTTTTCTTTTTGTCTTCTTCTCTAACTACTACCTGCTAATATCCACTTGTCAGATCAAGACTTGAGAACCACTTAGCACCTTCAAACACAAATAGGATTTCTTGGATAGTAGGTAAAAAATATATGTTCTTCTTGGTTACTATGTTTAACTTATGGTAGTTGATACATATACTTTTTTTATTATTTTTTTTGGATACAATTACTACTAGTAAAGTCCAAGAGCTTTGCACTTCCTTTATTATACCTTGTTCTTCTATTTTTTCTAGCTCTTTTTGTAATAATTCTTGTTCCTCTAAGCTATACTATAACATCTTTGTTTAATTGGTCTGGTATTTCCTATATTAATTTCATGACAAACCAAATTGGTTTGATCTAAACCTACTATTTGTCTACCTTTACTTATTTTTTGGGTAAAGGAGGACCCTGGACATCTCTGATATAGGTCATATTTTTTTTTTTAGCAAATTGCAAAAAATTTGAGTTTTAGCAATTTTAAATTAGATTATAATTGACTATTTCGTCGAATTACATCAATTTTATACATGTTATATTTTATTTTTTAGCAAATTACTGACATTTTGAAGAATTATACTCAAGAATAAGCTACTTTTTTTTAAACTAATATGATTTTTCAAAATTCAAAAAAAGGTGCTTAATTTTTGATTTTTTGATCAAAACTCCAAGATTATGCATTTTTTTTTGAATTTTTAAAAAATATAAAATTAAATATACCAACATAATGTATTTTTGTGTACTGAACAAGTTTACTTAGAGTATAAAGTTAGAATTAGTTAGTAAAAATTTGATAATCATAGTATTTTTTAGTATTTTTATTAATAAAATTATATAAAATATTAAGATTCTCAAAAGTTTACTAATTGATTATAACTTTATGCTCAAATAAATCTTGTTTTGCACACAAAAATACATTATTCCAATATATTTAATTTTTTTCTTGAAAATTTAAGAGAAGATGCTTAATTTTGAATATTTTGATTAAAATATCTAAAATCAAGTATTTTTTTTTAAATTTTCAGAAAATATAAAATTAAATGTGCTAAAATAATGTATTTTTGTATACTGAACAAGTTTCTTAGAGTATTATGTTAGAATCAATTAGTAAAAATTTGTTAATTATAGCATTTTTTAGTATTTTTATTAATAAAATTATATAAAATATTAAGATTCTTGAAACTTTACTAATTGATTATAACTTTATACTCTAATAAACCTTGTTCAGACACAATAAAAAGAAACGATGATGCACTTGTTAACTTTGAGCCTTATGATGCCTCCAACTATACTAACTACTAAAAGCATTTGCAAAACATATCTGGGCAGCCTCATTATTGTATTGGGAAATACAGTCATTAGCACAGACCAAATTGGATACATTAAGACCTGGGTCCCAAAAGTCACAGAAAACTAATTAGTTATAGTAGCATGCAGGCTTGAGATATTTACCTATTTGGGTAGAGACAGCTGCATGGCTTGGGATATAAACTCCTAGAAAATACACCAAGTAAGAATTGAGGGAGAAATTGCTCTGCCAGGTATATCAAACTGGAAGCAATAGCATCTACATGGTATACACCAATTTAGAAGTTGAAGATAAAAGGTTTGTGGGTAATGTGGTGAATATATGAATACTAATTGGTGGTTGGTGGAGGGATGTATAAATCCAGGTCAGCTATATAGTGAAGATATGGCCGGCTCTGGTAGGGTTTAGCCATGGATAAATGGTTTGTATACCTGATGTCCTAGTCTTAGTACTTGATGTAATATATATATATATCAGCACCATTATATGTCAATCATTTAAGTATTAAATAAAGTCTAAATGCAGGTGCTATACCCTTATAATTAAAAAAAAAACTTTGTTCAGAATACAAAAATAGATTATTCTGGTATTTTTAATTTTATATTTTCTGAAAATTTAAAAGAAAATGCTTAATTTTGGATATTTTGATCAAAATATCTAAAATTAAGTATTTTCTCTTAAATATTCATGAAATATAAAATTAAATATACTGAAATAATGTATTTTTGTATACAAAACAAGGTTTATTAGAGTATAAAGTTATAATTATTTAGTAAAGTTTTGAGAATCTTAATATTTTATATAATTTTATTAATAAAAATATCAAAAAATATCATGATTCTCAAAATTGTACTAATTAATTCTAACTTTATGTTCTAATAAAACTTGTTCAACACACAAAAATATATTATTCTGGCATATTTAATTTTTACTAATTGATTCTAACTTTATACTCTAAGTAAACTTGTTCAGTATACAAAAATATATTATATTGGCATATTTAATTTTATATTTATTAAAAATAGATATAATAATTTAATTTTTAGCAAATTAGGCTAATTTTATATGTAATAATTGAATTTTTAGCAAATTTACATAATTTTAGGGTAGCAACAAGCCTTTAGCTTATTTATACTGTTCTATTTCTAATTTCTTATTTAATTTTAACTAGTTCTTCTATTACAGTATCAGTTAGATAGATAGCTGGGTTATCCTTAACCTATGGATTATAAAAGAGGTTATTTTCTTTGGAACTTACTTTATTTTAGAAAAAGACTTCTTGAAAAATTCCTCTTCATTATTCTCAAACTCATCGATTCACTCATCTTTGTTGGTGAATTCTTCAAGTTCTTGAGTGGGAATTTGATTTATTATATACAAATATTTAATATGTAATATATTTTTTTTGAAATTTAATTTCATTTTTGACTTATCAAACCAATTTGTTTCTAATAACAGAGTTCTTTTTAAGACTCTATTACCTGTTAGTTAATCAGAATGATCAAGTCTTGTAGTATTATTTTAATACCACTAATAATTCTAAGAGCTTTAACTCTATTTTTATTTGCTATTATAACTGTTGTCTTTGAAGGTTTATCTGGTTTTAATTTTTTTTTTTTTTTTTTTTTTTTTTTTTTTTTATATCAAAGGAGGTCTTTTCTCTAGTTCTTTATTAGATAAAATTATGAATTATAACAAAGTTAAAATTGAAATTTTACATTTACAAAGTAGAAGTTAGAACATCTTATCCTCGACCAAGCCTTTACTAGAATAGTCGCAAGACCTCTAGATTGTGAAGTATTCAAATGAAGCTGTGCTATTATATAAAATATAGTAATTAAAGTGACATTGTATTAAACTATCATCTAGGGGAGGTAAATAGTATTGTCTTCTGGTATTGTACTTGGATCCACCCTATTTGTAGTCTTGTGTCTGTTTGCTCTCGTTTCTATTTAGATCTTTTTATATATTTCAGTGATTATTCTATGATGTAGGAGAGAAGTAACTTCTCTTTTCGAGTGTGTTCCTGTTGTAAGTGCCAGTGTGTTACTTGTAATCAAACCAAGTCGAGTCTCTCTTGTTATATATATGCTGTAGAAGTTTGAAAAGAAGAGTTGTAGATCTCAAACTTGCATCTCGTTCTCATTTAGGACTTTTCGACTTTCGTTTATTACTATATCTTTTAGACTTGTTTGTAATTTGGTACATGTTATAAGATGAGTAATGTCTTTAACTATGTTAGAGCACTTGATGCAATATAGATTCAGATACTGTTCTGAATTACGTCTGAAAAGTCGAAGGTGAGTAGATAAATCGCCATTAATGATCTTGATCTTGAAGTTTTGAATTGATAATGTTTCAGAGTTGGTTGCTCTACTTTTAGATGGGTTGTTATATATTATATGTTTGAATGTTAATTCCCAGTTGATTTCATTTGTATTCATGTTTAAGATTCTAAATTGTCTTTGATTTATCCAATTACATCTTGCAATAATATTATTTGTATCTTTTATTAGCTGCTTTAATGAGCGAACTGTTAATATCATACAAAAGCTGGGTATATACTGATTGGTTAGTATTTGTTGCGGTTTTGTGCTTGTCTACCAAACTATTGTAGGTGGTAATTTTGTTGGCTTATCTTTTACAACATTGATCACTAGTATAATCCTTTTAATGTTAATAATAGTTACTATTATTTTTGTTAGTACGTTAAAGTTCGTGTTTTTTTGTCTTTGCCAGTAGTAGTAAGGTGTTGTCAAATGCTCCTCTATTAGCATTTTGACTAACATATTGTCTGTATGTATTGTGATTTTAGATTGTTCTCTTACACAAGTTATTATTGCTGTAATAGCTATTAATGTCGTATGGGTATTAGAAGGCCACACTTCTGCATTAACTGACTAGGAGTTGTTTGTTGTCTTATGTTGTATGATTGCATCATGTTTCAGTTTCTTGTTTGAGCTTAGGATTTGAATAACCTCAGTCATCTCCCATTTCTTGTTGTATAATTTATGCAGCATGTCAGTTATTTGTATACTTGTGTTAGTGAAAAGAGTATCTAATGAAATTTTTATTCCTGGCACTATTTTTGAGTATGACTGTAACTTTTGTTGATGTCATATTACATTGTCTAGGTCTTGTATTCGAGCTTTTATTTCTTTGACCCGTCTACTTTTATGTGGTATAAGTCTTCCCGATTTCGGGAAATGATACACCAAGTTCTATCTAGATTTGTTTTAAATTTACATCTTGCACAGGGTACTAATTGATTTCCTTGTTTTATTCTATAGTGTCTTAAGTTGAAGATGTTTGCACTGTGGTTGTGTGTCATGATTTTACCATATAGTTTGTTTTTCGTAAGTACCCATTTAGTTTGTTCTGACACAGGTTAGTAGGTAAACGGATTCATATCTTCGAACTCTCAACTTGGATTTTCTGTCTCTCGAATATGTTGTATTATTACTTGATACCATTTAGGTTCATGGCCTGTTGGTATTGTCAGTGTATGGTGATGA